TCTGTATGGAGGCACACCCACATTTTCCGCAGTTCCTCCTTAAGCACGCAGAGGTCACGAAGATGCAAAACTCCCTTTCGGCGTCAGGGACAGAAATGTCAATGGTAAAATCCTTGTCACGTAAACGCCTTGTAACTGCAGGCTCATTGTGCCTGAGAAAAAACTCGGATGCAAGTGCCTTAGCAACGCCAGGCCTCGTCCTGGGGACCCCTGCCAAAAAACGCCGTGTACGCATCAACACCTCTGTAGATGTGGTGGACATTGCTCCGCGTGACGTGATGGTAGTGACTCGAGAGCGCTCATTGCATATCAATGGTGCTATTGCGCTTCGTTCCGCCTTTACTGGAGTGCCAGGTGATAAGTTCCTCTGTGTGGTCTCTGCTGCGGTAGAAGGACGCTTTGCAGTGGGTTCTTCCATGGGCAACGTGTACTTTCTGGATGAAGTTGGTAACTCACTCATCCAGGCCCACATGCATGAGAGCGCCATCTGGGATGTAAGCTTTAAGGGGAGGTATCAATTTGCCACGGGCTGTGAGGACGGCAATGCCGTTGAATGGATCTTTGAAACAGGTGGTGCTGAGGGGGTGGCACTCTCACCGAATTTATCAACGTCTCTGGGTAACGACGTGTATTGCCTAACTTACTTGCATGGTGAGCCGAATTCACCGCTGCTCGTTGGCGGGCTCAGCCACAGCTTGATCCTCTGCTCCGACAACCATGAAGTGCGGCGTCTGGACATCTCGTCCAATGCACAAGTAATGGACTGCATTCCCGCAGGACCTACTGTGTTAGTAGGAGGCAGCGATGGGTCCCTAACAGCAGTGGACGTCAACTCTGGATCCGTACTGACGTCCTTTAAAGGACACTCACGTAAACTACCTGCACTGACAGTTCGAGATGCCAACCAGTTCTTTACCGGCTCATTTGACAGCACCATTCTCTCCTGGGATTACCGCGCCACTGATTCCCCCACAGGAAAGCCCCTGATGGGTGAATTGCCTACGGCAAGCGTGGCACACGCGCTGAAACTGAAGAATTACGTGACTGGGCTTCACTGTAATGATGTGCATTTGGCAGCAAGCGTTGGTGAGAACTTGTACCTGTGGGATGTGCGCAACCTAAAGGAGGTTTTGGGAGGCTATCCACAGGCCTGGAAGGGCCTTTCGCGAGGTGTGAGGGTCAACAGTGCTTCTCGGTGTGTTGTAACCGCATCACAGGACGGCTACGTCCGCTTCTGGAGCTTTGTGTAAGGAACGAACTAGAAGAGGCAAAAAGAAAACAAAAAAGAAAGAAAAAAAAGAGTTTCTTGCCAAGCAAGTGGCAAACAAAAGGCTTAGAGGAGCTTGTAAATGGAGCCATGTATGGGCTTTAGACTAAGGCAGCAGCGGAGGTAATGCCGAGAAGTGGTTAGAAAATCTGCCTTTGATTGCAATGTTTCCGCAGACGCGCCGCATATCCGCAGGATTTCAAGTTCCATATAAGTGTTTTTCTGCTGTGTGCGCGCGCGCATGGTGCGGCAAAAGAAGGAGTTGAGGCGGGTTGAAAAGGGGGCTAACGCAGGGAGGCTGCATTACCAAAGTAGTGAATATTGATAGCATATATAGGCATATATATTTATATATTTATATCTATCTATGCCTATACATTTGTTTTTGTATCCCTGCCTATTTTCCGGAAAGGAAATGCAGGAGGTTGAAAGTAATGTGTGTCTACTTATATATGTGTATCTAAACAGAATATAACTACACTTTCATGTGAATATCACACACACACACACACACATATGCACCTAGCGGTGGTTGTTTTTTTTTTTTTCCTTCTTCCTTGTCTCTACCGGCGAGACGAAAAAGAGGCAGTAGGGGCACAAAGAAGAACTAAGAACAAATGTGACCGTGTGTATGGTGATTTGTGTTGTTGCTTTTTTTTGCTGTTGTTGTTTCCTCCTCCCTCCTCTGTTTTCAATATTCTTTTGATCAATTGGCTGTTGTTGGCGCGCCTCCACTTGCGTGGCTAGCGGGGCACCGGCGACTGAATGCA